GCTTTTTGTTAACTAATTATGCAATATGACGAAAAATTTACCCACAATGGGCAAAAGGTGACTTTTTAACCATTGCTCATTTTCCGACCCTCGGGTCAATGAAATATAAATACCATATGTGTACCATACATTGTTTATTATAATGTTTGAACACGTTTCTTCCAATATTGTGGAACCACTAATCGTAATTTTTACCAAACCAGATAAACCAAAAATTATAAAATTAAAATAATGGATTCAATATTCAATGACTGTATGTAAATGTGAGACTTTCACCAGTTTCATCCCCAGAGCGGCAATTTGACCGGAATTTGACCATAACCATTACGCGGGCATCGTGTTCAAAGACGCTAAGTCGTTAAAACTCTTAATTATGAAAGCCTGTTTATAGCCTTAATGAAGCAGCGTGCTGTGAGCCGACCCCTTTATGTATTGTGTGACGCTTTGCGGCGGAACATCCTCCAATATTCTTTATTAAAATGTAGAGCACACATTTACAACTCTACTTTACCTGTTTTGTGTATCAAAATCTATCAAATCTAAACGTATAATGTGGATAAACTATGTATTCGAATCCCAACAACTATACTTGTCGTATTCCTAAAACAGGTTAATAAATCGTTTCAATATTGGATTATTCTTATTTTTTTAACGTGGTAACGAACAAAGAAACACAATTTCTTGATATCAGAATATCTTTATACCGGAATCTAAAATACTACTACTATTAATTAGTATACAACTAATAAAGTACTACTCTAATACCACGCACGAAAATTATAACACAATATTTAATAAACGCTTTTAGTGAGAATGCATTATATCCACACTCATCCCCGAATGCACATTTCGTCAGAGCTAATGGATGAATAATACCAACCACTAACTTTGCCATTCACGCCACATAATTTATTTTTCTGTGAATCGGTTGAAATTGATAAAGCGTCAGCGACGCATTAAAAGCCGATATGTGACACATTTCATATTTCACGACTATTTGTTATTTTCGTGCCAATGTGAAAAGGCAACTCAGTTTTCATCATTTGACCTTTGCCAGTGAATTATTTATTCACAACTCTCACAAAGTAAAGGTTAAAATGTTAAAATTGAATATGCACAAGATTGCTCTATGTGCTGTATGTGTTTTTTTGTACCGATTCGTTTAATAATGCCTAAAATTGTTTATTAAAATTTTCTACAGATACACTTATCATCCGATTGCAACATTTTGGGTGTTTTTAAATCAGTTTTACAACTGTATCATTAATATTCGGACATAGTTTAGGGCAAACAATAAATAAATCACTAAACTCATTCAACCGTCTAAGCAACCGATTGGTTATCAGTATTTTACCTTCAAATAGAAGGTTCCCGGTTCAATTCTGAGGAGAGTCGATTCTGAATCCAGATGAATTCGTCACATGGCTATATATCTTTGATCTTTTATTTATTATTTATATATTATTTATTTATTTGATTTATTATCTTTTATTTTATTTATTCACGTTATGACCATTTTACGATAATTTATAATACTCATGCATTTGCTCAAGATAATAAATAATGCGACAAAAAATCATTATATTACAAAATAACAATATTGTAAACCAGTTACAGATGACTATTTCGTTGATGTCTAACAAAGTGCCGATGTTCAGTGGTAACAAGACATGTATTTGCGCCGTATCCTTAGAAAAATTAAAAAAAATCCAATGGCGTCAAAAACACACAAAATGATTTTTAAATACTATAGTTATTAAGAGTCTTCATCAGTGGTAGTCCCATAAGAGCAATGTTAACTTTGTAACAGAATTTCTAAAAAAACCTGCTGTGAATAATGATTGAGGTATTAAAATTAAGGATTAGTGGTCCTCTAGGGAGTGAAGATTTTAGTTTTGCCATTTTCCCTCCACTTAATAAGTTAATGATCATTAATTAAGCCTTTAATTAAATAGTTTATTAATAAAAGACAAAAACAAATATTTGAAATATCATTTCTTTATTCCATTGTACTATATGTTATGAACCTAAAAATATATTTTCAAAACTATATCTTTATAAATAACAACGGCATACTACTCAAAATGATGATATACTAGTGTACATGTTGCTCGAATTCGAGCAATTGCAAAGCATTACAGGAGTTTCAAAACGAATAACAGTCATATTTACAATGAGTTAAAAAGAGTCAACTCAAAGATTACCGGTGTGTAACTCAGACCATGTTTATCTTCGTTATTTATAAACCTAAATCATTCCGGCTGGTTTTCTCCTTCTCAAAATGCCTCGCTGTACATGCAACCATAGATAAAACATACTCCAACACAGGTCATTGCTAGAGGGCCAATTGAGAACGAAAAGTCGTTTTGGGGTAGTGTTAGGGTGCATTTGTAACCTAATAGTTCAGATTGTCCAGGGTCAGATGCTGACTGAAGCCTATTACGCGCCACTGTAGCTGCGGTCGTTATCACGATTACGCCTGCTGTCTATGTTTCGTTGTCGTCGCGTCGGAGGCATAAATTATAGCTACACAAAACAACGATAAACGCACAAATTTAAGTTACAATCATGCTAACACGATCCGTCACAGCGACACAAAACAACGATAAATACACAAATTTAAGATACAACCATACTAACACGATCCGTCTTGGGGGTTATGTTTACACAAACTCAAATAGTAAATATACTCAATGCGTTTCATTGAATTGAAAAATAAATAACAGCAATTAAATTATACAGCTGATCAAAATGTAAACAATTATGTTCTCCATAAGGATAACATGGGAACTTTCAAAGCCACTGGGGCAGAGCCCAAGGGACGCTTTCAAAAATGTAAGGCCAGTTTGCAAATCTACACGACACGCTCTTTCCAATGAGTCGTCAATGGATAAAATCGGTTAAGAAATGGCGGAGGAGTTCAACCGACAAAGTTTCATGTAGCGTATTAATTATATAGATTTTGTCAAATTTAACATTGCTCTTATAGGAATAAAATACAAAATGGCTACCACTGATGAAGGCTCTTAATTACAAAACCAAAAATATAAAAATTAAAAGAAAGACAAACCTGTGAAAATTCAAACCACCACATTAAAAAATACTTTATAAAGTAAAAGCTAAATCAAATATTGTTTTAACCAAGTGGCGTTGATTTATCCAGGGATTAAAGCAGCAAAAGGCAAATGGGTCAGTTTATTTTCCCGGCTTAAACAGAACGGGGGCGTAGAAAACAAACCAGCTTACGGCAAATAAATACAATAATGCAAAACCCTACTTCTCCAAGCAATAGACTCAGCAACTCTTGAACTTATACAGCACTTGCAAACGTCAATCACTTGTCTTTTTAAATCTTAAATCAATAAAGGGGTTTCTGAGTCAAACTGAGGCAAAAATGCAGGAAGGAAATGTCATCAACCGATTAACCTTTTACATGTTGACTACTTTATTTCCTCAATACATTTGTGATACGAGAATTTTTTTAGAATGACTTTAAATGAAGACGGTTTTCATATCTTCCGCATTTTTTTCAATGCAAACATTTCCACAGCCTAAATTTGGCTCTGATCCACCAGGCTACAAATTCGAAATTCAACACGACACTAACATTGGTGGTTGGGGAGATTCAAACCCGGGGCGTCTAGCCAGGAGGTCCGCGCAATACGGCCATTTGTACAATGACTCTCTGGAAATGAAAATCTGCTGTGCTAAACAAATTAGAACCAACACTGTTGCAAATACAAACTAATTAGATGAGAAGACACAATCTACCATTAATCTACATTGAGGAAATATTCGACACCATAATATATACTCGTATATTACTAGCCTATAATAAATACGTGCCACATCAGGCCTAAACATGAACAAACAAGAATTTTGTTTAGGCAAAATGTCACAATCATGTTCATTTATGAAAGCCTTGATATGGTTTTCTGACATGGCTTGATCTTTTTCCTTAATTAGAATTCCCTTTCTGTCCTGTCAGAATCTGTTATGGCAAGCACCTTTAATCACAAATACGTCAGTTTCAATAATTTAATTAGTTCATGTCACAACTAACTGGTATCAGCGTAATTGAATCAATATGTTATGTTATGCTACTAGTTACCAAGCTATCAATCTATGTACATTACATTTAAATCCATTAAAGGGATTGGTTTGACTATTGGCAACACTTAAACATGTTTACATGACGTTAATTAATTAATTTGGTTGCTTAACAGCCGAACATTAAAGTGGTCCAATATACTAGCAATAATAGTAGCAATATTTTGTCAGATTTTTGTGTGAGCGTTTTTTGTCTATAACTACAGAATTTTACTATGTACATCTGTATACACAGCAATATTAATAACTAATATTTATAAAATAAAATATAAATACGACACGATCAATTAGGTATGTTTGGAGCACTCAGCATGATGATACATAATTAGGATGAAACTAAATAAAATAAATGGAAAACAACGGTATAAGATGTCTTAAAGGTCAGTTAATCTCATTTTACCTGTGACAGTTGCTCTAAAATAACACGGAAACTCGACTTCATTGCGTATAAAAAACACAATTCGCTAGCCGCTTTTCTAGTGTTTTATTTAAGTAGAGTGCTGTGTAGAAATTGTGTAATTGACAGTTGCTAGCGGGAAACCTAATAATTATTATATTAGTTGTAAACGTTCTCTGATATTATATAATAGTATATTTTACTTCATATGGAAAAACGTTTCATATTACACTAAAATACGGCTGAGACCCCAATCAAAATTCATAATAAATAACAATATGGGATAAAAAAGTGTATAGAAATTTAAATGATCTCTAGGTATTCTTTCGTAACAAAATTATGAACACACGTTAATGTTTTACAGAGAAAAATATTTGTTTATTACACCCCACTTATCTTTACTTTTTATTCATACAGCAGGGACTTAACCTAAACAAATATACTATCAAATCAAATTATAATATAAAAATAAAATGTACTTAGAAAAACTCACTTCAAACTCAACACCTCTTCTCTGAGCGCGGCAAACTCTGAGTTTTTCTCCATAACTATCCTGAGCGCCTGCTGAAGGACATGAGGGTCCAGCTGAGCAGGTTCGTCAGCAAGAACAGCAGCGACAACAGTCAGCACGAGGCAAAATGCAGAGCACACACGTCCGTCCATGGCGGTGGCGCGCACACAACTGACGACAGGTGCGAGCTAGCGCGCATGCTCGGCGCGGTGGTGGGGGCAGAGGATAGTGGAGGGGGGGGGGCGCGTGCCGGCTGCTGGCCGTAGCTCCGGGCGCAACACCTTTATCGCGATCAACGATTCTAATTAAGGCCAAATTAAGGCGCATTGCTGCGACAAGATTCGAGACGATCGCGGGATTTTAATTGTTTTTCACGGAGAAATAATATTAGAAGGCTTTGACCTGGAGGTAATTTTGCGCAATTAACAACGTCGCTCTTTTGAAGATGTCAATGAGATGTAGTGAAAATTTGTGAAATTTCCTCTCTTTGAATTGAGACGCGTATCCATTACGAGTAATATTAATTGTATGTGATTCTGATGAATGCATGGAGTAAATATTATACGATAAGAAATTAGAGAAGCGCCAAATTGTTTTGATACCGTAACCGAAACATAAATAGTTTGTCGATACTTTGTTTTAGGGATAAACACGTTGAAAATCGTTCAAGCATGAGTAAAATGAGTGAGTTGACACATGTTTGAATATTATAAGAAATGTATGCGGTGGACAAAATGTACAGTAAGTTGATTTTGATTACGTAAAACATGTCAATTATTTGTAATAGAAAGAAAACCAATAACAATACAAATAAATGATTTCTAGGTCAAATTTGTGAAATAGTTCTCTCACTTATAAAACGCTAATCTAAAAGAACTAAAATTGTAGTACACGTAAACCGTGTAAATTGTTTTCGATAACGAAAACAAAAAAAAACTAATTATTATTGTTATAGAAGTACTTGCATAATGCTACTTACTTGCAAACACTGGGGTACTTCGGTCCCTGAGGCCCTGGATGCAAAATCACCAATGGACTTTTATCTGATAGTGCCGCAACCTCTACGTCTAGCCTGAAGTAATGTGCAACACGTTCCCTGGCTCGTGCCAAGCGTCCTAGGACAAAAAAAAACTTACTTGCACCCTACACATACAAATAGCCTATATTGTCAGCCTATATACTCAAAATGGAAACCTAATAACCGCACTGCTAACAAGTGATTTAGGTGAAAGCTTACAACACATAAATTAAAATACAGGAACAACGAAAGTGTAGAATTGTATTAAATTTAAACATTGTAACTTAAATAGAAGAAATGTCTGTGCTATCTTAGATTTAAAAATTTCACGAGCAATTTTATACAAACTATCATTCACCTTACCTTCTTAGTCATTTGTCACATAGACGAGTTTGGAGATGATCAAAAGGTCTGTGATCATTTTTTTCTCAAAGAGCAAACAGATTGCAAGCCTGGAGCGGTACAATCAGGCCCCGGAAGTGAACAAACAGACGCTGCTGATTGGCTGTTCTGATCAGCGATACCAACGTTGCCGCCTGAAATCATTGGAAATTCGCAAAACATATATAAAATTAAAGTTGGTGTGTTTGTATTATGCAGTAAGATTTTATTGATCATCTTCGATAGCGCAATTACTCTACCTGCGCCTTGAATTAAATATTATTGATCAAATCATTATAATTATTATAATTTAATAACCATAAAAGAACGAGAATTTCTTTAAAAGTTGTACTGTATTCCAAAAACTAAACTTAAGATGTTGAAGGTACTGGCACAAATTTGTTAATAAAATTACATAGTTACCTAATAATTATTATTCTTTGAAGATAAATTTAAATATATAAAGAATGTATACAACTAAAGAACAATATAAAATAAATTTAAAACTCCATCAAGAAACAAAACGGGCAAGGACATCTTCTTCCTAAATATAAGTTTGATTTCCATTTAAGATTTAAAATTTATATAGTTAACATTTGTCTATGCCATACAGTAACATAAGTAGCTTACTTGCTATGGTTTTTTTGCAGATCCAAACAACGCCCCCCCCCCCAAAAAAAAAATTCAAATCGTTTCATTTGAAAACTTATTAAAGCAATATGTCAGCACATTATAGAATGGTATTTTAAACTGTAGCTTTGCTAACAAAGAATTAGTTCGTTACAATTTCCCACGGTTTAAATGGCCAACTGCCACATTGGGAGGCGAACCGTATCAAAACAAGAGTTAAAAGGGAAATGCACCCACAGGTGGTTGATACAATAGGCACGAGCAATGACCATACCAGCTGCATGAGGGCTGTAATCTATGTTGTAGATCAATAGTTAGTTATTTGTGTAACTAGTGTGAGGCACTTTGCTGCACACGAGAGAAATGAGCCACAGGCGAGTGCGGAAAGTTTCTCGAGTGCAGCAAAGACACTTTGCGCCCGTGTTACATATTATATTTTTCCTACAGCTACTATAAAGCATATAAATAGTCTTTCAAACGCTGTACAACACGTTTTTAGGATAGGTTAAATCCAAGCGTCAAACGAAATGAGAAACACTTTAACAGCTGATCGTAGTCGTAGTATATTTAGTTGCCAACTTATTTTCAAGCGTACACGTACTACGTGCCTAATAAAAACACGCTGATTTGTGTTGTTAGGTTGGAATACTGGAGTGCGGCAAAAAATGAGTGCGGCAAAAGGAAATAAATGTAGAAATTAGCTATTTTGCGGGCTATATTAGTACAAGAAATCCCGTTTTGTCAGGTAACTGTAGGAAAAACTAATAACTTTAAATATTGGTATTGAATTGATTGAAGGTACCGGTACGTAAATAGTATCATTGACTATATATACATACAGTACTGTAGGTATATATAGTCAATGATAGTATTACCATAGTTATGTTATAACATAGGCACACTCCCTTAGCAAATTTATCATCCTCATGGAACAGCTGAAGCTAGTTTTATTGTTAGTTTCGTCTGGTACACTGTATGTTTGTATGTATGTACACTGTTTTATTAAAAATTTGTTTCTTGTTCAGTAATTAAAAACCTCGTTTAGCCAAATAAAACTATATAATCATAAACAATAACTCGCCCCCTAGTTATAAAATAAAACAGTAAAGGACAAATTATAAAATTAACCCACAAATAATAGAATAAAGATTCGTCAACACTATAGCGATCAGCGTCACCGGACATAAACTAAAACTAGCTCCAAAATATACAATGGGATGAGAAATCTACTTGTGTTGGTTAGTCTATCTCTATGTATATCGTATTACCTTCAATATCCAATAGTCAATGGTATTACCCTAATTAATGTTCATTTACAGCTGAAAGTGTGCAATGATTACAAAGAGATATACAATATATATATATATATATATATATATATATATATATATATATATATATGTATATATATATATGTATATATATATATATATTGATTGCACTTTATGGGTTTTAATGTTCCTAGACAATAATTTATTTAACAATGATCCATCGAGGTTTAATTTGTATTTTTATTGGTCTTAATAAGATGTTCTATTTTCAAATTGTATTTATTCAAACTAGTATACTGAATTATTTAATTGTTACTTTCTTTGGTTTGGTTTTTAATTCTGCAACGCTTTAAAACGTTTTTATGACGAGAATATTTGTATTATATTAAAGTCACTTGGCACTATAAACGAGAAACAAATTAAGATCAAAACAAATACTGCAGAGTTAGAAGTATAAGTCGTCATTTGAACAGCTGCAACCAAGCTTCAAATCTCCGCTTTGATTTTATATTGCTTCGCGATTGCGATGCCGGCGTCAATATTGCGTTTATATTAAATATGAGAAGACAAATTTCTGCTTTATACAATTTTGGAAATTAATAAATAACTTCTTGATCAGCATCGTACGTGAAATTAATAACACAACAAATTTAAACATTTAAACCTTGTAAACCTAATATTTGAAATATGTATTTTAAACTAAAATACAGGTTTTAATACAGCCAACGTACAACATGGTATGTATTGGGCTTTGATGTTAATTTTATTATTAAAATGACGTCTACGAAGAAGCTCCATACCAAATACAGGTAAAAATACACCCGCCGCAGCAAAGCTGCAGACTGGGCGAATTTCCATTTTACCTGAACAAATTTAAATTTTGAATACAATTTATATAAGACCATTAGGTTTAACAAGTACCTAGGTTTGCTGCTACAGGGAGGCTAATAAAGTGTATTTTTAATAAAATATTAATAGCTTAGTATAAGATAAATAAATTTGCCAAGTTTGATGAAAATATATCTATAAACAAGCAAACTACAACATTTTACAATATTCTCCATAAGAATAACATGGGATTTTAAATTTACAATTTTGTGAATTTTCTCCGTATCTAATAACCATACAAAAACACTTTGATATAGGACTACAAAATTATTTGTTTTTGAGCTCTTTAAAATGGTCTAGAGATAAATTGGGAAGTTTTTTGTTTTGAGGATAAAAAAATTAGAAAACCCAACATTTACCTCACAAAACCTCTTGTAAAACACCATTCACATGGTCCGATCATGCTGGTTCGCGAACTCATTTAAGTTTATACAGCCTCTAGGGACATCAAAATGAAAAAGTAAATCGGTCCCGGGCCTAGGTTTTAATTTTGCTAATATTTTTACAGGTCGTAGGCCTACTAAATCCTACATACTGTGAAACGCATGTAAATTTATCATATTATGGCTAAATCGTGTGGAACGTATTTATTAATTTATTGAAAACCCTAATTGCTTTAATTTTTGAAACAGTAATATGGACAGAACTGTTCGCTGGCTAACGCACCAACTTTCATCTCATTTTTAATATGATAGTAATGCAATTTTTAAATTATTGTATGGCCGCGAATTTGAGTTCGAATGGATTTTGAATTTGAGGTTATAAACACAAAATTGTAAAAAAAAAAATCCTTCGGTAACTCACCTAAATTTGGTTGGAAAAGATGAAGAAGTATGCCAGGCTACAAAGCTAAAGAGTGACAGTTATAGCATTGTTATAGTTACAGAGTTAACCCCCTTCAAGTGACACCTCATTTTGAAGTATTTAAAGAATGGTGAAAACCAGAGTTCGCTATCTCTTCCC